TTGGGTAAGCATTGGGATGCCAACTGCAAAGTTGGTGGTTCAAACCTACCAATCACTCCAAAGGAAGAAGATAAGGCTACTCACTCCCATAAAGATTTACAGCCTCAAACATTCTAGACAGGGTTGCTATGAGTCAACTCAGTGGTAGTGAGGAATGCACGCACACACACACAGACACAAAATTTAAGATGTATATGTTACAGCTCTGTTTTGATCACTCTTTCTCCCTCACCCCAACCCTGATGATCCCCACCTGTTTGAAGCTCCCAATGCAAGTAATTATTAATGTCCTTCCCACCCCTTTCCTACTATTCTCTATCACTGCTGGAGAAAGTGGTCCTCGACGTTTTGTACATACAGAACCCTGCCCCAACCCATGCTGAGGCATAGAGACTAGAAAACTTTCCTTTATTATTATTATTTATTTTTAGAAAACTGTTTTTTTATGACATATCATGCCAATGCTATTTCAAATCAGAACATGGGGAACAAGCAACTCTCTTCTGTGGAGAAGACCCAGGTTATCTGGACCACCAGGGTGGTGTGACTGAGTTAGTACTTACAGCCAGCTTCTACCAATGTACTGGCTCCTTTCCTTTGATCCAATTTAATTCATCTGGTATGTGTCCACAGAGCCTGGGTGGTACAATGGGTTAAGCATGGGCTACTAACCAAAAAGTCAGCAGTTCAAATCCACCAGCTACTCAGGCAGAGACATATGAAGCAGTCTACTTTCTTAAAGATTATAGCCTCTGAAACCCGATGAAGAAGTTCTACTCTTTCCTATCGGGTTATTATGAGTCAGAATCAACTCAACAGCAGTTGGTATGGTTTTGTTCTTTGGTTTTTTTCCCCCTTAGTCTGTATCCAAAGGGTCCTGGTGGCACAGTGGATTAAGCACTGGACTGCTAACCAAAAGATCAAGTTTAAACCCATCATTCACTCCACTGTAAAAGAGGTAGCAGCTTCCAGGGATAGTTAAAGCCTATAAACTCTATGGAACAGTCCGACTTGGTCCTATAGGGTCACTATGAATTGAAACAGACTGGACAGAACGGGAGGGTTTTTGGTCTGTGTCTCCTTACCCTGACACATGCTGTTATAACAACATCTACCCACAACTTTCTTCACTCCATTTCACTCCGTACAATAAATTCTGTCCTTCTTTTCTCTATACAAATTACAGTCTCTGTTGCCTAATTGCTTCATTATACTTTCTAGGGTAGATGTGCCCAAGTGTCTAAACATGAAAATATGTACTTTTACTGTGTAAACTTTCACCTAAACCACATTAAAAAAAAAAAAAAAAGCTGAGCCAACCTTCTTTTCTTGTTCTCTCAGGACATTTTTATACCTGCTTGGAAGCTACCATGCTGTCTCCAGAAAGCTCCATTATATGTGTCTAATAAACCTTTCCTTGCCACAAATTCGTGCATGTGTCTGAGTGATCATCAAATGAATAACTAACAATACCTCAAATCAATACTTTGATAAAATAACCCCTTGGAAAATAGTTTTAAATATTTAGGTATAATTAAAATAGAAAACAAAAACTAACTCTTTCTCTGTGATGAGAACTTAAAAAAATTTAAGGACTCCAAAGAGTATCTGAAAAAATAGTGAGCTAGTTTATTGTGCCAACCTGGCCGATAAAAATTGAAGGGCAGAGGGATAAATGGCTTGGTGAGCCTTTCCTTTCCAGTTCTCCAGTCTCTTGCTTTCTGATGGCCGGACCAGGGTGCAGCTGCCTTCGCCAGTTCCCTGCTTCAGCTGGCAAGGCTCACTTCCTGCAAGACATTCCTGAGGATGTAAGTAGTATAGTGGGCTACATATTGGGCTGCTTACTGTAAGCAGATTAAAACCACCAGCTGCTCCCAGGGAGAGAGATCAGGCTTTCTACTCCAATAAAGAGTTACAGTCTTGGAATCCCACATGGGGCAGTTTTACTCTTTTCTATAAGGGTTGCTATTAGGAATGTTAAATAAAGGCATGCTTGTATTTTTTGTATCAAAACCCTTTTTCTCCCCTTAAGTATAAGAATATTTAACATTTTTAGTTGGGGCTGTTCTATTTTTTCAATATCTCCTTAATTTCACAATTTAACAGAAGTCATCAGTATACTGCACATCTAGCTCCATTACTGCTGCCTTGACCATTTTTCATAAATTTTCAGCTTTGCTAACATCAGAAACTGGGTTGCAAGTGCCTAAATATCTAATTTGCCAGGAGTCACATGATTTGAGAGGCCAGCCAGTTCTAAGAAAATGGCAGTAGATGCTCCTTTACAACACTCTGTATCTATATTTAAAGCTGTTCTTGGAAATGTACAGTTAGCCAAACTCCTGTAACCTATAACCATCCTAAGTGTACCTGACCTAAACCATGGTATTTTCAATAATCTCATATGCATGTGAAGGTTGGAAAATAAACAAGGAAGACCAGAGGAAAATCAATGCATTTCAATTATGGTGCTGATGAAGAATATTGAAAGAACCATGGACTACCAGAAAAAATAAACAAAACTATCTTGGAGGAAGTACAGTTGGAATGCTCCTTGGAAAATATGGTGAGACTTCATCTCATGTATTTTGGACATGTTTTCAGTAGAAACCAATCCCTGGAGGAAATCATGATTGGTACAGTAGAGGGGCAACAAAAACGAGGAAGACTCTTAATGAGAAAGATTGACAGTGGCTGCAACAATGGGCTCAAACATAACATTCATGATAATGGTGAAGGACCAGGCTATGTTTCATTCTGTGGCTTACAGGATCACCGTACATCAGTCAACGCAGCAGGACCTAACAACAGCACAGAGCCATCCTTACAAAGG